GTTGTGCTCGCGATCACTATTGTTCACATATACACCGAGGAAAAGGGTTAGTATACTAGACACCTTGGGAGGATTTCGTCAATGCCGTAGGAGACGGTACACGCCCTTCCTAAAGAGATTTGTGATTGTTGGTTGGAATTGGTGGACTAGGCATGATCGTTAGGTAGATTCACGAGAAGCAATCAACATACATGGTACGGGGATGAACCAAAAATACATGGAATCGGGAGTTGGGTCGTTCTTGCCGATGCATTGGTATGGGACAATGCTTAGGGAGAAACCCTTCTTAAATAGCTTAAATTAGAATTTTGTTTATCGATGCTAAACTCACTTTATTCTTTTAACTGATTATTGCTATTGTTTAAACTTGAGATCTCTTTTAAAATGTCACTGTTTTCATTCCAAACCTATATATATGTTAGTTGTGAAATGAGACCGACCGTTTGCTATGTTTTTCAAACCTTGTTTGAGTTGAGAGGATTTTGCTACAGAGCTTCGTGCTCACCCCCTACAAATAAAAATTTTTCAGATTTCACACTTGAGGAGGAGTTAGGAGCCGAGGAGCCCACCCATTGGAAGACTCCGCTTGACGGGGATGTGGATCCCGAGGTGGACGCTTAGAGCGACACTTTTATTTTGTTCTAGACTAGATTATGCTTAGAATATCCTTTTGAACTCTAGTTCATTTCTATTATTTCCGCTGCGTTATATTATTACATTTTGGAGATGTAAAGGCCAAGATTAGACCTATTAATTTGGGATGATAGTGTGGATATGACATATGATGAATACAAGTTTATTTTATGATGGAAAAATGGACCCGGTGTGGTCAATAGTTATGCATATGTGGACCCGGTGTGGTCAATTGTAATATAATTGTACAGGTTGTGTTTTGGGTAGAGCTCCCCGTACAAAGGAGACTCTGCCCAAATTTTGTTAAAATATGAATGGTTGATGAATGAAACTTTCGTCGTGATAAATTTTACTTAATGCTCTCATACGGTAAATGGTTTTTAGAATGTAATGTCACCCACGGGGGTTTTTGGGGCGTTACACTTAGACACCGACAATATCTTTATTTAATGAGAAGATTAGTTCTTTAAGGCGCGAAGGTGGCCCTAATGTTGACAGGTTTATGGCAAATCTCCCGTATGAACATTGGGCCAATGCTCACTTCCGAGGAAATTGTTATAGTGAAATGTCGTCTAATGCAGCCGAGTCTTTTAATGCTTGGATTACTAAAGCACAACATCTACTGATTACTAGCATGATTGACACTATAAGGGGACAACTTATGAATCTTATGGGTTGTCGAATGAAGACATCGTCAAATTAGAATGGTAATTTATGTCCAAATATGGATGCAAAATTGCATATCGCATTTGATGAAGGAAGGTCTTGGTCTGTACGTATTTCAAACAATGATGTGTATGAAGTGAATTCACATTCTTTGGTATCTATTGACATTCTAAATAGCACGTGCAAATGTCATCAATGGCAGATTAATGGGTTCCCTTGTTCACATGCGGTATCTGCCATACGAAAGAGTGGTCGGAATATAAATGAATTTGTTGATTATTAATATCATGTGAGCACTTACAGGAAGTCGTATGCTGAACCGATCTTCCCAATCCCTACACTTGGACATCCAGATTTTTCGGGTGAAGATGTCGATATATTGCCGCCATCAACCAAAAAACAGCCTGAGCGACCAAGGAAGCAAATAATAAGATCAAGGGGTGAACTCATTAGGCGTATTTTGTGTGCTCGGTGTGGCTGTTTTGGTAGTCACAACAAGAAAACATGTAATGAGCCATTATAATTCATCAACTATTACATTTTGATGGCACTGCTCATTGGTTTCAGATAATTTGGATTATTATCTGTTTTTGTTTAATTTTAAGGTACTGTTATTATCAATTAATAAAAAAAAACATAGTTTTTCTTTATGAGTCATTTTAGGTCATCCATTCAATTTATAAATGTTATAACAATATTTAGTATCTCTATGTTCACAAGGCTCATAAATATGATGTCACAATTTTTGAGGTGCAAAACAAGAAAGAATTACGATGTCACATTACCTTGTCACTCAGTCACTATTTTGATGCAACTCTACAATGTCAGGTGCTGCCTGTAGCACATAATATGTTGTACCAAATACTATACAACATTAAATGCACAAAAAAATGAAAATCTAATTAAATTAACCCACTCGTAACATGAATGCAATGTACCCACCGCCCCCATACAAAACATGTGAATCCAACCCATAAAAATAATTAAAGTGACATCTCCATGTAACAGAAAAATATCACTCTTTGTCAAGTGATTCTTGTAACATCTCATATTTATGTTTCAAATCATTTACAGCATTAAATGAGCAAAAAAAAAAATGATATTCATAAATAAATAACCCAGTCATAGCATGACTTAAGTATATCCACCACCATCCCAAAAAACATGTAAATACAACCCACAAACTAAATTAGAGTGACATTTTTCATGTAACAGTACAGTGTCACTCTTTTTCAGGTGCTCCCTGTAGCACATCATTTGCTGTGATAAATCCTTTACAACTTTATATGATCCAAAAATAAAATGATAATCATATTAAATTAACCCACTCATAACATGACTACAATATATCCATCGCCATTCCACAAAACAACTCACTATAACCCACAAAAAAAATTAGAGTGACTTTTTCATTTATCAGTACAATGTCACTCTTTTTCAGGTGCTCCCTGTCGCACATCATATGTTGTGACAAATCCTTTACAACTTTAAATGATCCCAAAAAAAATGATAATTATATTAAACTAACCCACACATAGCATGACTGCAATATATCCACAGTCATCCCAGAAAACAACTCATTACAAGCCACAATATAAATTAGAGTAACATTTTCATGTAATAGTACAATGTTAGTGTATCTCATGTGCTTCTTGTAACACATCATATTGTTGTTGCAAATCATATACAACATTAAGACAAAAAAAATGATAATCATATTAAACTAACCCACTCAGAACATGACTGCAATATATTCACCGTCATCCCACAAAACATCTCATTACAACCCACAAATAAGTTAGAGTGACATTTCCATGTAATAGTACAATGTCCCTGTATCCAGGTGTTTCCTGAAACACATCATATTGATGTTGCAAATCATATACAACATTAAATGACCCCAAAAAAATGATAATTATATTAAACTAACCCACTAATAACATGACTATAATATATTCACCATTATCCCAAAAAATATCTCATTACAACCCACAAAATAAATTAGAGTAACACTTCCATGTAACAGTATAATGTCACTCTATCTCAATTGTTACCTGTAACACATCATATACTGTAGCAAATTATATACTACATTAACTGACCAAAAACACATGTCCACATATTATATTAATCCACTTATAAAATGAGTGCAACATATCCACCACCACCCACAAAATTAACACAAAAAAATCTTAGTTATGAGCCAAAATTAACATGTCATGAACGTTTGGATCATACACCCACAAATACATATGGCACACTCAATCAGTTTTCAACAAATCTGTTCACAATGTCGTTCAGTTCATTGTATCCTTCTTCAGCCCAAGGACTTTTGTGGTTTAGGAACAATGTCACCATTTCTGCCCGGAATGCTCTCAATTGTGCAGCAGTCCATTTTTCTTCTACTTCTTCTCCTTTTGTAAGCTTCTTCATTATGTGGCAAACAAACAAACCACAGTCGACACTGCATTGGTAATGCAGTTAATATCATTACATTTGGTGATTTCCAATAAAATATTATGAGAATTACATACGAGTTAGATTTTTGTTGTGGACATTTGTCATATTATACGATGGGTAGCACCTTGTCTTGTGTGTCGAGGAGAGTGCCCATGGCAATTTGAATCTCCGAAATCTTTTTCTCCACATAATCGTTCTGTTACATGCAAGAACTTGTTAGTCGTTGTAGTTTTTTGGAAAATATTGACAAAAAAAGGAAATGGAATTGTGGTTTACCAATATTTTTGCATCTTTGAGCCAATGGTTGAGTACTCATTTTTTCCTTAGCTTAAAAGAGTTGTAGTGTGTCCAAATCCCATTTTCAGTGTCTAACACAAGCAATGTCCAATGGGAAGGAACACAAGAACCTTTTTGACCATTTGAGTTCATTGGAAATACTAGGAATTGAGATTCTTGTCCAACCAATAGATGGTCGTCTATTTCCAATTTTCGTGCATGTGCTAGATTATCAAAAATTACCATCGACTACAGATATAAATATCATAAAATTAATATATGTTATTTAACATAAAATCAAACTATAGTTACGTATTATTAAGGTCAAAATAACTTACTCAACAGAGACTGTTGAAGAAAAAACATCGTCTCTTAAATGTGGATGATTCATTGTTTTCATCCATCTCCCACAACATATTAGCCCAAGAGTCTATAATCTAATACAAGATATGATTTTTTAGTAAACTATAGATGAACAAACTTAAATGATATTCATAACAAATTTGCATCATTCAATTTTTAATTTTTTTAAACAAAAAGCAGTGTAAATACACATTCAAAACATCAAAAAAGATACAGTGTTGTACAACTGACAGCCACCCATCAACTTAAATGCATCTTTAACATCTACATAACTATTGACACCTCTTCCGTGTCATAATATAGTCCTACAAAATAATAACTAGACCAAAACATATTAATGAAAAATTGACAATAATACCTGACTAGGATTAGTTGCCTCACATGGCTCATTCTAATATGAAACATGTACTAAAGTTATATACCATTACTATATATTGCAACAATATAGTATTTCACTATTTTTCATATACAAATACAGAAATATAATTTATTTTTTTGGGAATTTTTAATACTTACAAGTCACCTGTCGAGTTGTAGATTCGCTTCAATTTGTTGTATTCTTGGGGAGCCAATGCTTTGCAACCTTTCCACCACTTAGCAATTTATGTCTTGCTTGTTTCTTGCAGTGTAGTAGTCTTTCCATTTGAGTCATCAATATTAATAATTTCACATTCATTCTGGTTGCTGAGTTTGACGATGCCTTTACCTTTCTCCGATTCATGCGATGTCACATCCTCTTTCTTTCGTCTTTTCCTTCTACTGTACTCATAATCTGTATCTCTGTTGCTCTTCCTCTCTTTCAATTTGATCTTTCTAACCATAGAAGATTGCCCCACTTTTGATGATGTGTTTTGGACTTGTTGTATTTGATCATCACTGTCTGGCGTTATGCCTGGAGTATGCACTTGATTTGACAGATTATGGAATCATTGAGTAATGCCATGCATAGACAACTCGTTGATCTGGTCGATCAGTTCTCTATTCTTTACTTCAAGTTGTGCCATTTCAGCCTTGACATCGTCAGTTTCCTCTTCATAACTTTCACAAGATTCTCCAACTCAAAAATTTGTATATCTTTATCCATCAGTTTTATCACGAAATCTAGGACTTGTGTTTCCATGACAACATTATCTGCACATTCCTCCCCTTTCTTTTTAGTTGTTTCATTCGTTTCCATGCATTTGATCACCTTTTTCAACTCTTCATTTTCTGTTGTTAACACCCCAATCCTTTGTTTGTTGATAGAATTTTCTTGTATTTGGTCTTGTAAAAAATTCATATCTTTATCACTCCATTTCATTATGTTTAGGATGTTATCTAAAGAATTGGAATCACCATATGCTTCAGCCCTCTCAAACCTGGTTTCACCGTCTCTTTGTGTGATCTCTAAGGTCACAACATCAAGCAATGCTTCAAAGGGCTCAGATTCTTTGTCATTATCCCCAATAATATCCATAATATCGTCATCAACATCAAACAATACTTCATCATCATTGTAAAGTATTCTGTCATGAACCCATTCTTTTGAATGTTGTTTTTCCCCCATTGTTTCTTCCTCATTGGACTCCTCTAATTTTGTTGCTCCCATTTCTTCCTGAGTTCTAACCATCGATTTTTGAAGCCGAAGTGATTTGAATAATCTCTTCTCTTCTTTGGTTTTTTTCAATCTTTTTTTTCAAAACCTATGTGGGCAAATAAAATTTATTGTTTTATAGAGTAACATTACAATATTGTCACAGTTTGTTATCATTATAAATAAAAATAACAAATAACACCATTGTGACAAAAAAAAACAATTTAAGCGTATGCATATTCATAATAATAAATTCTAATTATAACAAAACATACATGCTTGATTTTTTGCATACTCCCTTGCTTGATAGCCCTTTGTAGACTTGATAATTTCCATTTCAAGAATCTTGGAAATGCGTTTGGCTTCTCAGGTTTTAGCAGGGTTGTGTGCTCACATAACCAGAACTACAAAATTTGTAAATTAAGGATCAACAAATACTTTGTCATGTTTCCTAAACAAACAAGTTTGTAACAATAAACTTACATGTATAAGATAGACACATCCAGTGACTGTTGATGGACTGCTCCTTTTTTTCCTCAAAGATGATATAAGTGCCACATGTATGGCTTGGGACCAACCAAAAGTCTTCATCCCATCCAAATCCTCCACATATGGGACATAACCCCATCCAAGTGTGTGCCCCATGTCTGTGAAGAACAAAGTAACCATTAAGTATAAATATAATAGACTTGCTATGACATCGTAGTCTTTCTATGTGTTCTCGTCTACTGCTTCTTTCAGCCTGTTTTCAATCAATGGTGCCGACAACCTATCATCTCTATTGAACTTCCGTTGAACGAATGCAGTCGACTCCTTTCCATGGTTTGCTGCATTTATTGTCTCGCTTCCGTCATCAATTCCAAATATTAGAGTGCCATCATTTTTTCACAATTTGAGCCACTCGCCACAATGTTGAATTTTGATGTTTTAGGGTCGAAACACAAAATTACAGGTAGTATATTGTTGTCAATCTTCCTGCACCATGATTTCTCAAAATTGTTCTCTTCGATACTTTCGAAGATTAACCAAAAAGGTGTTTTCCGCAATGACTTCTTATGTTTTTAATGCAAAACAATTTTATGCATTACCCGTATGATTGCAAGCATATTTGATATGTATTGTGGGTCTAACGACTTTTCATTCACATTTGTTTCAACCTGTATGATTGCTTCATTGCCAGGTGTACTAGATGTTGACCCATCCACTTGATTTTGCAATATTATCCTTCATTTTAATTCAATTATTTTGGATGTTGAAGAACGTGTTTTTGTCATTTCCTGTGTTAACCAAGAATAATGTGATACTTTTGACATAAAGTATGAAAGAATAAATTTGATTACTTGTTTATTATGTAACTGTACGTAATATGGTTAAATTAGTTTTTAATATATACTATACCTACATGGACTATGTTTCACAACTTCACAGAGTCCATTGAATTTTTGACAAATTCAATGGACCCACCAATTAAACAACAAAGTTACAACATACTGTGACATCATACTAATTTCACAAAAATATGTCAATACCAAAAAATAGAGTGATATTTCAATGTAACGTTACAATGTCACTCTATTTCAGGTGACTAAAGTAACATATATATGTTGTCAACATCTGTAATAGTTACTCAAAATTATCAATTGAATATAGAGTTAATCCAAGAATTGGTCATATATGAAGGACAAGTTTAAACTTAAATACATGTTGTAGCCCTATGGATTCTCAACAATAGGTTGCCACTACATATTGTAACTCTATGGAATACAATTTACTCCATATTTATAACTTTGTGTATTAAATCCTCAACAAATGCAATGTTCCAAAATATTGCATCATACTTGGTTAAGATTGATTTCAAAAAATTCACAAAGTCCATACCAAAATATAGAATGAAATTTCAATGTAACATTACATTGTCACTCTATCTCAGGTGATTACAGTAACATACAAATGTTGTCAACGTCTGTAAAAACTACTCCAAATTATCAATTGAATATAGAGTCAATCCAACAATTGGACATATAAGAAGGAACATAAATCTGTGCGAGTATATCACATTAGAAATTTTTATTGTTATAGGAGATGTTCTCAATTAAACTGGAAGATATTATTTGTTTAGGAGAAAAGAGGAAGCAGGGAGTAAGACGTAAGTAAGTGTTGCATGTCTGTACAAGTGGTGGATAGCTATTGGTCTTACTTAACACTTGTGATAAACTTAGATCAAGTGGTGGACAGCTATAAGAAGTAATGTTATCATAATTGGACCGGTCATCGAACCAGCAAAGGGATCGGATCAATGGTTCATTGGTTCAACCATTCGTTCACAATTAACATTGAGCAAAGACCTCAATGCTAAAAAAACATCAATACTGATAACTAGATCCTCTTCTTAGGATGGCTCAGTTGTGGAGGTGCTACTAGTTTTAGAAGATGACATAGACCCTCTAGTTGTCGAGGCTATGGAAGCAAGACATACAACACTTTGGGTTTGGGCCCATGCAAAGGAATGGCACTAGGTTATACTGGAAGGAGACGCATGATTAACCCTAATTAAGGCATAATTTAATAGGTAAATTTTGTTAGTTGAATAAAGTTAAACTAGTCAAAATAAATCAAATTAGAGTTAGTGTGTGAATAAAGGATAATGCATTAATTGTTGTTCTTTTCAGGGTTTTGTGTGTCAATGCTACAAACTACTGGGGAGTCAATTGCATTAAAGCTACAAACTACTGGGGTGCCAATTATCAAAGCATAAAACAAATGGGGATCAAAGAATTCAAGGCCACCTAACAAGACTTTCATGCCACCAAACAAGACTTTTCAAGGTCACCCAACAAGATTCAAAGCCACCTAACAAGACTTTCACCGTCCCTTGTTGCCTATAAATACCACCCCTTAGGACTTGTAAAACATTCATCTTTTGGTAGTGGAAAACCCTCCAAAAATATTATTGCTTTCCTTATTGCTTATTGCTTTCTTTTATTGTATTATTGCTTTCTTTTAATATATTGCTTTCTTTTACTTTAAGTATTGCTTTCTGTTATTGTGTAATTACTTTCTTTTATTTCCATTGCTTGAGCTTCCTTCTTCTCTTAGAGGAGTGAAACTCTTCCACTTTTCTAGAGCTTTACCAAAGCCGTGAAGAGTGGAACGTGATTCACTGATTCTTTGTCGAAGATCGGCTCCTTGTATAAAATGTTTTACCTTGTAACTCCTCTACTTGGAGGGATGACATCACTCACTTTTCTTGCTTTAATAAAGTCATGAAGAGTGAGTAGTTTCTCATCCAATCTTTAGTAAGAGGTGATTATCTGGAAGTTATATTTATGTATTTCATTTATACTTAACTCTAGTCTTTATTTCTTCATAATGTCTTCTCATTATATTGTTATTTTTATTTTTATTTTAAGCATGAATAACAAAATCTCTTAGTTGGCAAAACCAAGAGGAACCTCCACTTGGGTATACCATTTCAACTCATTCTCCTCCTCTCTTTCAGAGTTCAATGGTTCGATTTGATTGGGTTGAGGGTGGATAACTTGGTGAGTCTTTGATATTTCGTAGGCCTAGTCACGGTTTATGCTTAGATACTCACCAATCTTACCCCTAGCTTCCCACGAATCAATCGTTCATTCATGCTCTATTGGAGGAGGGTTTCGAGTTGAGACGGTATTCCTATTGGAGTGACCTCTTGGATTTGCCAACATTTGTTTCTCATTTTACTAGCATCAAAACAACTTTACCAAACAACTTCCAACAATCAAAGATTTTACACTTTCTTTCTCCCAAAGTCACCTTCCCCTCGATTTACTTACTTCCCCGTGGAAACGACCTTGGAACACCACCAAGTAAAACACGATCCGTGAAAGTTTCCTTGCACTTGGGGAGCACTATTGTTCACACATACTCACATTTGAAATCTCATTCATCCACCATTCCGTTGTCCTTTCTTTTGACATTATCTCTAGGAGAGTGACACCCCCTTCATTCATATACTATTCATGCTAAAAGGTGATGTTTAGAGGTTAGGAAACAACAAAGAATTTTCTCAAGTATTTTTGGCACCGTTGCCGGGAAAGGCAAGTGTCAAACCAAGAAGGTGATTTTCGGACGACGGAGGTAAGTCCCATGATCTTTATCATGGGTGGAGGTACGTTGTTCCGTGTACATAATATTATTTGTGTATAATTTTGTTTGTATATATTTTATTTTATGTGGTGGCGGAATGATCGAAACCAACTTGTTAGACAAAACTTGGCACCTACCATGAATATTGACCAAGAACAACCCGAGGATACGGGTGACAATTTTGACAAAATAGGTGCAAATCCAAATGTCCAAAGGGGTGCAAATCCAAATGTCCAAAGGGGTGGGGGACCACAAGAACCCCAAATACCCAATCCGAGAATGAACGTTCCCCCTCCCGTGAATGAGGGGAATAATTTTCAAACGGATCCCCCGGTGAGGTCAATGAGGGATTTCCTACAACCAACACGAAGCACCACACCATCATGCATCCTCCTTCCGGTCCAAGCTCATCTTTTCATAGTTAAGCCAGGAATGTTGCAACAAATTTCCACGTTCAACGGACTTGAAACTCAAAACCCTTATTCACACATAAGGGATTTCGAGGAAATAGTTGCAACATTCCTTCCTAATCATGGGATGGAAGAGATAGTTAGAATGAAAATATTTCCCTTTTTCCCGAAAGACAAGGCAAAAACGTGGCTTATTTTCTTAAGACCTCGAACTATCACATCGTGGAGCCAAATAATTTTTGAGTTTTTGAACAAATTCTTTCCGATGCATAAAACCACTGCCCTAAAAAAGTAAATTCAAAACTTTTCGAAACACCCAATGAGCAATTCTATCAATGTTGGGAGAGGTACAAGAAATTGCTACAATCCCTTCCACATCATAGCTTTGAACCATGGCAATTGGTGAGTTTCTTTTATAAGGAATCACACCGGGCCATCAACAGTTCATTGACATGATGTGTAATGGGGAATTTTGAACAAAGACGCTGATGAGGCCTT